CGGCCAATTGCCTGCACCCCCTCCCCCAGGCAAGCCCTGCCTCCAATTGGCCCCCCAACCCTGACTGGGGGTAGGGCCGGCAAGCCAACCTCCTGTGTCCCCTCCCCCCACCTGCCTGGCCCCAATAGGCCCCCATCAGGGCGGGTTGGGTGGGGCCCACCTGTGCATGAATTCATGCACCAGGCCTCTAGTAATTATATAATCTGATTTACTTCAGTTCACACAAAGTCATGCCTAACTTTAATAAACTATATTTTACTGAAATGTTTCAAATCCCATTTACCCGACTAATCAGAACCAGACATAAAGGAAGTAACATCTTCCTTTATGTAATTTTTAAATGTAAATATTCTTGGGCTTCCCAGATACCTTAACCCCCTGAATGAAGGCCAATATCCCAGGGTCAGAACAGAATCAATGTGGTAACAAAGTCCTATAAAATAACACCAGTGACTTGTGAGTTTATCATAGCATCAAAATTGTTTTCACTTAAGAAAACTAGTGGTCTTTTGGCAAATGGATTTATAAAAAAGAAACAAAGACAATATTATAAACTAGATGCCCAGTGCACAAAATTCGTGCACTCGGTGGGGGGGGGTCGCTCAGTCTGGCCTGCACCCTCTCGCAGTCCGGGAGCCCTTAGAGGAGGTCTGACTGATGGCTTAGGCCCACTCCTCCCGCCACTGCCACTGATGAGCCCAGCTTCTGGCTGAGCAGTGCTCCCCATGTGGGAGTGCACTGAACACCAGGGGGAAGCTCCTGCGTTGAGCATCAGTGTGCGTCATAGCAACCGATCATTCCACCGGTCGTTCCGCCATTTGGTCAATTTGCATATTAGGGTTTTCTTATACCGGATAATAAAACCCTAATATGCAAATTGACCAAATGGCAAATGACCAGTCACTATGACACACACCGACCACCAGGGAACAGGCGCTCAATGCAAGAGCTGCCCCCAGCCCAAAGGCCCCAGGCCAGCCAAGGCAGGTGCCAGCGGGGGGCCCCCCATCACCCTGCCGGTTGTCCCACAGATCAGCCCTGATCGCCGGCCAGACCTAGGGACCCTACCCGTGCTCGAATTTTGTGCACTGGGCCTCTAGTATAGGATAATGTCTCATCATATTCCTAGAAACCTAAATAAAACAAGCAATCAAACAAATATATACAAATTATTTTTATAAGCCAAATTCAAAAATATGATTCCAGTTAAGTGACATTTCTAGAATTTTAACTCAAACTAGAACATAAGTCTCTAAAATATTAGTGTTCATCAGGCTGATTTCCTTAATGAAAGTTTGTATAAAAATGACAGAAGCTTTGAGGTTTGACATTTGAAAAAATGATTCAGGTATTTTACAGGGTTTTTTGTTCTTGTTCTTAAAATAAATTTTCTCTGATATTCCTACTCTGATAAGAAACTTAGTGCAGTTCTTATTTTAAGAGATTTAAAAAAAAAAAAAAAAAAAGGCAACCAGACTTCCCTTAAACTCTGATGTTGCTATTACAACATCAGAGTTTAAGGGAAGGGGGTGGGGAAACAGCCAGCAGCTAAGTGTGGGAGATA